AGCACATAATGTATGATCTCCTTTATGATAAAACACATACACAGAAATGAAACAAAAACCATACCTATATATGCAAATATATTTGTATGTAAAGTTATCATGTCCCTATGTCACCTAATGTTCCTATGCCACTCTTATTCTACTGTGCACGGTACAGGTTAGGAAATGGGTTCTGGTGTCAGACTGACTGCCTTTAAATCCTGGCATGACATTACTACATGTATGATTATAGGCAAATGACCTTCCTGTCTTTGCTTCATTTTCTCAACTCTAAAATGGATTTGACCATTTTAACATAACTCAAGTAATTGTAAATGCATAGGAAAAAAATCTAGAACACATTTGATTATCCTGAGACACAGGATAGTGTCAAAGGCTTTTATGAAGTTAGAATATATTGCAGTCTAGTTGTTTCCAGTTTTTAATCTTGTTTCCCACTTCAGGGATAACTCCTGACTGTGGGGTCCCTAGTAATAGCTTCCCTTTGTCCCCCACCATGACCAGCATAGTGCCAGGAACATGGCAGACACTGAAGACACATTTTGAAAGAATAATGACATCTTGTTGTCTAACAAAAAATAGGGTTTTAATTTGAATTTTCTATTAAGTTATCTCTAAAGTTCTTAAAGTTCTATGTTTTCTGTTAGCCATTAGTTTCTTAATAATTAACAAATTGTTTGTAAACTCAACAGTCATTAAGCATCCATTACAGAGCAAACATAATAGGTGCTGATATACAGTAGTGATGAAAGGCTTATATAAATATCTAATCTGGCCGAGCTCTCTCTACCTGTTGGTCTCTACCAGGTACAAAGTTTGGTACCTGGCCTTTAATAGACTTTACACTGTCACTTGCAATTCTTCTACCTTAATACTCTTCAGGGACTCAGATGAAAACTAACACAGGAAGCCAGTAGGGCCTTGAGACTAGTGGAGCGTGAAGTGCTTTAGGTAATTCTGAAGGCATATGGACCTTGAGCATCCTTTCCTCTGGTTGAGAGATCTATAATGGATGCTCTAGTTAATGAGCAGAGCTGAAGCTTACACAGCAGATGTGGGGTTTAAGGGCATTACCTCTGGAGCCACACTGCCTGAGTTTGAAACTAAGCCCCCCCCCCCCACTTACCAGGTGGGTAGTCTTAGGCAAAACATATACGCTCTCTGCCTCAGTTTCCCCAACTGTTGAATGGAAGTAATAACATGATCTCCTTGGGTTGTTTTGTAGATGAAAAGAGTTGATACGTTTAAAGTCCCTAGCATAACGATTAATATATTTAAGCATTCAACAAATGATAGCTTTTATTATTATCTTAAAATTAATCTTATCAAGAAACAAAGCAGCCACTATACCAGTATGGAGGCCCCTGGGGCCAGATAAATATGGAGATGGGAGATAGTGACTAGTGAGAATCAGATAGGTAAGAGTATTATTGACATAGGCTGAAGGACCAGGGACTCCCAGGGTTTTGGAGGTGGAATTCATCCATCCATCCATCCACCCATCCATCCACCCATCCATCCTTCCACCCATCCATCCTTCCACCCATCCATTCCATAAAGATTTACTGAGCACATACCATGTGCCAGAACTATTCTAATTGCTGGTTCTGTGGATTGTCTATAATATTACTGCCCTCATGAACTTTATATTTTATTGGCAGAAAGTGGGCCATCTGGTCCCCCCTTTTATCGCATGCAGGAACCTTGCTACAATGCACTGAATGCTGGCTCTCTATTCTCTGTTTTTATGTGTCTAGGGAAAGCGTGTAATGAACTAATGAGAGAGCAGTGCCTTTCACTCTTGGGCAGCTGGAAACGTGAAGTTCTTTTTAAAGTACCTAAGTATAACCCTACACATTGAAAATAATACTGAATTCTGAACAAAGCTAATCTACTTCCATGGAACAGCATTAAAAAGATCCTAGAAATTCAGAGGAATACAAATTTTGGTAAATACAATCCAGAATTAGAAGGGTAAGGAGAAACAGCCAGAGATCATGCAGGTGTGTGGCCATCAAGACCGTGACAAGGTTTTTCTGGCAGAACTAGGGGAAAACCCATAGTCTGCCGAGGCAGAATCATGAAGTGTGATGAGGGGGTGCTCCTGTCCCCACCCCAGAAAGGTTGGTGGTTTCCTACCTGGCTTTCTGCTCAGCCATGTCCGCCCTGCTCACTACCTCAGATACTCTGCTATCAGCACTGCTGAAGCTCTCTCTGGGAAGGAGGCAAACCTTCCCTCCAGGGAGGTCACGGAGGATTGCAGCGCTTTGCTTCATGCCAACATCCCCCCAGGGAAGGAGCCTTCACTATCCCTGCTGTGTGGATAGATTGAGGAGCCCCCAAGGCTTGGCAGCAGGTCAGTGCCAAGCCAAGCTTCCGGAAGCAGACAGAGGCGCAGATTTCTATCTGAACTTAATTCTTCTTTCAGAGGAGCATTCACGGCCTCTTGTTTCTTATTTGAATTTAATCCCCCTGGATCACAATTTTGTTCTGTGGGTCCATCTAGCAAAACACACGATTCAAAGGCTCTTGGTCCTTGGTTGGCTCACAGAATTCTAGAAGATCAGCCCTCTCACTACAGATGAGGAACCAGAGCTTGGGAAAGTCAAATGACCGGCCAAGGTCAACTGGCCAATTGGTGAAAGCACTGTACTAGAAGGAGGCTTACCAGTTTTCATCCAGGATTCTTGCACCCACACTAACACATTTTTATTAGCGATAGGAAAATCTCAAAAATAACTCCTAAATCTCCTAGAATAGAGATCTTACATGTCATAGGTAAAAGAGGATATAGAGATTGTGTAGTATGGTCCTCTGAAAGAAGTTTTCAAGTTTTTGAGTACCCTCTCCCTTTATTTTATTTAAATTAATGTCCGGCTTGACAAAACCATGAGTCTGAGATGTGTTCTACTGGATAAGTCTGCAGGTGCACCTGTGAGCCTAGGGGTGATATCAGCGTGGATCCCTGAAGATTTTGAGAGGATACCTCCTCTTGGGTTTTATTTTGTAGTAAAAATAAATCTGTGGTGGTTTTGGTTTTCCTTGTCTTATGAGCTGGGGGAGTCAGCCAGGAGGCCACTGTCTCCTGATTTTCTATGTGGTCATTATCCGTACTCCATTCAGACCACAGTTAAGACCACTGGATCGTAAATGATCCCCCAGGGACTGTTCATGTGGTCATCTGTGGGGAGGGAAAGGGGAGGTTATGCAGGCAAGCAACACTGACCAAAATATTTCTTCTGAAAGCTCTCATACTTGTAATGTGAATTCACCATTGGAAGACTGCCATGGTTTCTATTTTAAGGTTCCATGTCCCTTATGTTGCTCTGCTGCTCCTTATTCTGCTGTGTAGTATGGAGAGTAGAGATGAGGATGATGCATCCTGGAACAGGGCTGTCTAACTTGAAATTCTGGTTTCTCATTTACTAATTTTGTGATTATGGGCAAACGACTCCATCTTTCTGTGCTTGTTTCCTATATGTACATTGATTGGATAGCTTGATCTCAGTCCGATGATTGATATGAGGACTAATTAGAGAGAGTAGAGACACACTGGCATGCAGTAGCCACTCCATGGTGTGGGTGGTTTCTGTTAACATCTCCCACTCAAGTAAGCCAGAGCTGTGGAAAGAATGCTGGTTCAGTGGGGTCAGGAGACACAGGGTGTGGTCCAGGCTCTTACCCTTACATAGCTGCATGAACTTGGGACCCTTGATCCCAAATCATAGAATGCCAGACATGGAAGCAGGTATTTGGTCCAAGCTGCTCATTTTCTGAGTAAAATTGGACCTTGAGAGAGGAAGAGGCTCACCCAAAGTCCACAGGGAGTTCATATCCAGGCCAGGATGGGCCAGTACCCACTCCCTTGACTTCCAGCCCAGAGCTCTTCCCGTTGTTACTCTGGGGACAGAAGACCTCGCCAAGTGTTCCCAACCTTGTTGAACACCTGAGGACTTCCGGGTTGGCAGGCAAATGGTTCCTAACAGGAAAGCGGTCTTTGGAAGGTAGTTGTTCCAGAAGCAGCAGCCGTGGCATTCTACATCATGGTTGGTCTGTCAGAAGTAGAGTGATGCCTTTAAGGTGCTACTGGGCAAAAGTTGCTGCACTATGGAGGGCTCTGAAAACTCATGCCAGGCTGACAGCTTAATAGTTGACCATATGTTTCCTTTCCCTTTCTCAGCTTCTGTAGGAGAAATGCAGCATTGATTGTCTCTATCTGAAGCTGTGGAGGTCTCCTTTTGAGTTCTCACTAGAGGCCCTAGGCATCCCTTTCCTTCTCTCTTCTGAATCCCACTCAGGTCCTGGGATTAGAGGCTGACCATATTATCCATTCTTGGGTACATGGCTTTGACCTGCAAAATCCTCTTTCTGCTCTGTATCCTAGCCACAACAGATACTCAGCAAAGCCAGTCCTCTGCTCATTATTCTAAATATATCTCAGGTTTCCGGCTCTGGGTTGTTCCATATGTTATGTCTCTCCATTGATTCCCACTGAATTCTCTCAGATTAACTATTACATTTCTGTGAAGCCCACCATGGTCCCCCCACTCAGAAGTGGTCCCCTGCTCCTTAGAGCTTTCAAAGCACATCTTAACTGTAACTAATGGTTTCTACATGTCTATAAAGGTCCTATCTGCCCTAACAAGCTCTTTAGGAACTGTGTATTGACATCTTTTTATCCTCCAAAGCATTTAGCAGAATTCCTTGCCCAATGCAGAAACTGAGTTAGACCTGCTTGAACAATTGTCAACTGGCTAGTGAGATTGGAGTAATGGTGTCCAGCCTTAATAAAAAGGTTATTCCTTCAAAATCAAAAGTACTTTCTCCCTGGGTATCATAATAAGCCCACGATAAGTCAGTTATAGCTATTCGAAGGCTCCTTCAAGTTTTGGCCATGCCCAGTCGTTTTGAGAATTCTACTTTTTAGAAATCTGGAGTGACACTTTTTTAAAAATTAAAGTCAGTTAAAATTAATTTTGCTTTCCTGTTTTTGTTGGCAGAAACTGACAATCCAAGATGGACAAGCAAACCAAATTAAATACTTTGAAAAGGCAAGTTAAAATTTGAGGACATCAAAGGGTGTGATGCCTGAAAAGAGCCCTGAAACTCCTGCTCATGCACACACTCATACACTCAATCAGCGAGCGTATTCACACAGCTGGACTTCCTGCGTCTCAGGAGGAAATGCGGTTGAGTTACTTTGTTTATACAAAATTCGATGTAACCGTCTCCAAGAGCCCTGTGCCTCTGAAATTCTGTTTGCTAAAATAATGGTCAGAAGCAGTTTGTGTTCACAAAACCAAACTCAGTGTTTCCCTAAGATCAAATATTCCGTGACAGATTTTATCCCCAAATTCGGAGAAAAAATGAGAAGAATGCAAAGATTAATCCTCGGAGGCCCTTCAATAAGCCTTTCCTCCCCCATTTTCTGTTTGCGTTTTAAATTTTTTATTCGGAGAACAATAGGTGAGTCCTTCTGTGGATAATGAAGACACATGTAAATTGAAATGCTAAGGCCAGTAATTAAACTGAGGAGCCCACTGGGTGATGTTTACTTTTTAGCTTCCAGATTGTGAGAGTTCAGTTCCTCTTCAAGCTGCACTTTTTGTTGTTGTTTTTTTTTTTTCTTTCTTTCTTTTTTTTTTTTCCTGAATCACAGAGATTAAAGCAGCCTGAGTTTTACAATAGCATCTTGTGCAAGAAGAGGTGGGGAGATCCACGGTGGTTTTAGGAAATAATGCACTTTGATGTCTCCAACTTGAAATCCGTATTTTGAGAGCCCTGATGTATCTAATAGTATTTGGAATGAAATTCTAAGTCTCAAAACTGGGGCCGTTTGCAGTGAGAAATGCCTGTGGAAAGTGGATGTTAACATTCCCCTCACATCTCACCAGGGTCTCACAACAAAGCGCCGCCCCTCTCTGGGAAGTTGTGGTGTGCGTGTCACACACTCATGGTGCGTCCACTCTTCTTTTGGCTGCTGTCCGCAAAATTATTAATAGCTGCTAACCTTGGCTTGAGGCTTTGGGCATTTATTTTGGGTAAGAAAAGGTAGAAAGAGAAAAAGGGCTTTCCAGGAACACATTGTTTTGTATAAAACCCTGGAACCATTCCAGGAACCCCTATTTTGACCATCAGAAATACCTGTGAGATCTAACTGTTGTTAAGGATTGATGTCTTTAGGTTGAAGTCTGTTGGTTTCACTAGTTTGTTTTCAGGGGCAGGTGCTGTGGTGCCATTCTAGAAATGTCATGGCCCTTTGTGTGTATTCACAGGCTCCTGTGCAGCAAGAGGCTTTGAAATTCAATAAATATCGAAGTACAAGAATAGATTTCAAGAATTACTTTCTTGCTAAAATCTCAAGACAAAATTCCCCTTGTTCCCATGAGCTCCTTAGATCACACAAGGCATTTGCCTCCAACAGGGTCTCTGTAGCTCTTGTTTCTTCTGTTATCACATTGTGTTTATGATGTCATGAGTGGTTACCATGGAGGTAATTCTCATGATATGGGAGATGTGTGAATTCAGGTGTGGAGAAACTCGGCCATGAGAGATGCATCTTGGAGAAAAAAGACGATTACCCTTTCACCCCAACTTCCTTAGTAATGAAAGGGTAAAGCGGAAAAAGAGAGGGGATGGAAATAGGATAACTGAAAACTAGCTTTTGAACGACATGCTTCTTAGGCTTTGCATGACATATTGGAAAGTCTTCCATTTATTTGTTTACTTTTTAAAATTATATTTTGATCACATATCTTGTAGTACGGTGTTAAAAATAACTTCTGTGTTCTTTCTTGGAGAAAAAGATACAGCTTGTGAAAGAAGAAGAGAATACTGTATTATGAAGTCCGAGTTGAACAGGGAAATCTTTTGAATGTTATACCAGGAAGCTCAAAGGTGGTTTGCTTTTGTCCTGTTGTGTGTTTTGTGGGGTGGTGGTGGTGGCGGAAAGCTGCTGCAATCTGCAAACCACTACAAAATAAGATAGAGCCAAGCTAACAACGCAGCCAGACTGGCTTGCTGCTGGCATTTGACAAGCTAGGGAAATGAGACTGCAGAAATCCACAGGGGATTATTTCTTCTTCATGTTAACGAAGTACCATACATTTCTTTCTTGGGATGAGGGGTGGTGGGGGTGAGGGCACGGGCGCTGCTGAGCAAGTATTTTAAGGAAATGATCCAGAATCCCCTGCCTCTGGCTTGGCATAATCAATGTCATTACTGCTTGTTTGGAAGCTTTGTCTTTTCTTGGAAAGGACCCAGGACTGGCAGATTCAAGTAGTCAGTGTGGTGACTGGTGAAAGAGGGAGCCTGCCAAGCCAAGTGCAGAGAGGCTCAGTGCCCTTGAGCACTGGATCCTGAATGAGAGACCCGGGTTCCAGTCCCAGCCTGGCCACTGTGGATTTTCTCTTTGACCTTCACCAAGGCCCTTACCTGCTCTGTTTTTTCATCCTACTAATCAAATGAGACTATTGTAAAAATAAACATATTGGTCATAAAATATATATTTTTAGGCAGGCTACAAATGCAAGTGATTAGATAGCATTTGGGGTTCCATGTCAGCACAAAGATAGTTGTTTTTTCCTCCAGTGGTATCCTTCATGGGTTTTCATGGTGCAGGTAGGCACTCTGGTGAGCATTGATGCTGGTAGCCTACTCTCCCTGGCATTGCTTTGGGGAAAAGAGAGTCTAATAAGGTTCTCCAGAGAAAAGGAACCAAGAGGATTATCTATCTATCTATCTATCTATCTGTCTATCTATCTATCTATCCATCTATCTAAAATGAGACTCATTATGAGGAATTGGCTCATGTGATAATGGAAGCTGAGAAGTCCCATGATCTGCCATCTGCAAGTTGGACACCCAGGAGAGCCAGTGGTATAATTGAGACTGAGTCTGAAGGTCTGAGAACCAGAGGAGTCAATGATGTAAGTCCCAGTCTGAGGGCAGGGAAGATGAAATAAAGTGTACTAGTTTAAGCAGTGCGGTAGGAAAAAAGAGGGGCAGATTCCTCCTTTACCCTTTGTTCTATTCAGGTGCTCAGTGGATTGGATGATATTGGGGAGGGTGGTCTACTGATTCAAATGCTAATCTCATCCAGAAACATTCTCACAGATACACCCAGAAACAATGTTTAATCTGGGCACCCTTGGGGCCACTCAAATTGATACCTAAAAATAACCAGCATGGGGGTGATCCCTAGGCCATGATCAGCCCCTCCAAGGTCAAGTATAAACTTCTTAGCCTGGTATTTGGGGTCTTCCATAATCACTCCCCAATCAAACTTCTCAGTCTCATTTGTTTACTCCATCAGGTACACCCTTCACCTTAGTCAAACCTCATTTGTCACTGGACATACCTCTAGCCTTCCTTGCAGTGCTCCTTCTCATAACCAGTCATATTCTACCTATTCCCTGCTTCACCCATCCTCTCTTGACCCCTCCTTGTGAATAATACCTCTTACTGTTGTCCTGTATGGGCTGAGCATGGTGTGCACTGCACAAAGACATCTGGCCAGGGCAGGGGGGACAAGAGGCTTACATCCAGCCAAATCATATGACCCACTGAGGAGCCTTGTCTGCTTAGAGGAGAGGTACCTTTTTCCAGTTGAAAAAAGGCACTGGAGGAGGTAGGTGGCTCTGTTTGTACTGATAGAAGTAACTTTTCATCTGTCTTTGTCCTATATTTTCTTGAGTTTATAAGCTCCTTGTGGATTCAGGCTTTGATTTTCTTGTAGATAATCACAGGAAATAATGCACAACTTTGTTCTGAATTATAACCAGAGCACTGGGTTCTGAGTAAGAGGCTGTGTTAAAAGTTCTTTAAGGACAGAGCTTACTCATTTCTTTACCTATCAGTGCCTTTCACATAAGAAGTCTTTAACAAAAGAGAAGTACATCCTCAATAAATACCTGATTGCTCACTTATTTATAGTAACAGTGGGAAAACATCCATACCACTGTCTTTTAAGAATTTTTCAATACCTATCTTGGTTTATTGGAAGTAAAGGTAAGAATGGGACCCTTTTCCTCTGAGAACTCTGAGAACGGTTTTTAGTTGGGGCTCTTAGATCTGGGCCTGCATTCTCTTCTGTAGAGCAGCATTGCATTCAGGCTTTGTGGTGGGCTAGAAAAGTGGGCCTGTATCTTCCTGCTCAGTCAGTAGCCAGGCTCTTCTGCATGCGCCGAGGACCTCAGGAGGAGAGCCACGTGTCTGCCCCTGAGGTGTTCCTGGATCATTAGTGGGGAAGACATGTATGAAAGTGGCCATACAATTATACAAGAGGCCCTATAGCAGCAGGAGTGGGTCCAGAGGCCTGAGGGTTTCTATGAGGCAGCGGAGATCTGCTCTCCTTGCATGGGAGCAGGCACAGGTGGAGTGACTGGGGAGAGGTGACCATGAATGGTAACATAAAGCGGCCTCATTCGCGTCCACATCGTCCATCAGTCCATGTGCAGATGACTCTGGACACGTACATCTCCATCCCAGACCCATCTGTCACTGGTCTTTCCACTTGGAGGCCCCAAAGGCTCCCTCAAGCCGCTATGTCCCAAACTGATGTCAGGATCATTTTACCCAAATCAGGTCATCTCCCAGTGTCCCCTCTTTCCATCCATCTGGTTTGGTAAACTCTGGTTTGGCAAATTCATTTGCTCGACTCACTCTTCACTCCCAGCTCCCCATTTCCAGTTTATATCCATGTCTCTTGCCTGAGATGGAGGCTGTTCCCACCTCACTGGGCCCCCACATCCTCTCTGGACTGTCCAGCCCCATCTCTGCACAGCAGATGGAGTGAGCATTTCAAAATGCAAATCTGATTATGTCTCATGCTCCCCAAACCACCCTCCTTCCCTGCTCAAAACCTCTTAATGCCTTCTCATTTCTCTTAGGATGAAGACCCGTATATCCCAAAGGGTGCCTCTAAGAACCCTTCTAATCTGACCCCTGGCGACTTTTCCAGCTCCAACTAGGACCGGCACCCCCGGCTCTGCCCTCTGTGTGTGCCTTCTCCCTGCTCCTCTCCCGCTCCAGGCCCAGGAAGCTCCCTCTTCCAGGAATCCTGTCTTGCAGTGGCAGCCGCCACGCCCACGCCATTTGCCTAATTATTTCATCCCTTCTCATCTTCCACCTATCAGCTCAAATATCACTTCCTCAGGGAAGCCTTCTCTGATCCCCAGGCCACTTTAACCCTTCTGCCTTGTACATCTTTGAGCACTTTTCCTTATCAGACATCACAGTTTGTAATCATATATTTATTTTTGTGGTTATTTGATTGATGTCTGTTTTCCCCAAAAGGTGATAAGCTCTGGGGTGCCTGGTGGGATTTGCCCTCTACTCCATCTCCAGTGCCCAGGACACTGCCCGATACACCTTACACTCTCAGTTAGTCACACACTGGATGCATGAACGCATGACGGTTGTTCAGGAATGGAGGCCACCCCGTGGGACTGCAGCGTGGGTTACATAGGAGGAAGTAGCCAGAAGTGAGGTTGGGAACAAGCTCTTGTCCTCTGGCATGAGGGTGCTATGCAGCCTATAACACAAAGATATGACAGGCCAAGAACTATGTTTTAGAGCAGTAGCTCCCAGAGGGATCTTGCATGGAGGCCAAAGGCTCTTGGAACCAGGGAGGCATGTTAGGAGGCATCTGATGAAGATGGCCGGAATTCGAGCAGTGGAAGGAGAAATGGACAGGTGGGTACAAATGCTTTCAGTGTTTGCTGTTTCCATCCCCCACCCCGAAAGGCAGGGGTAGATCAAGGGGCTTTACATGATTTCAACGTGCTTTAATTTACTTGACCTGCATGTTGCTGGGAGGTGGGGAAGGGTGAGGGGAGGCTTGGAATTGGCAGGATCGTAGGCAGTGTGGCAGAGGCATGAATCTGTAGCTCTTTCTTCTTTCCCAGGCAAAAGTGGCCCAAGGAAGTTTGAGAGGAAAGGCCACTCTTAGGACCTGCTGCCCTGAGCCGATGGTGAGATGTTGTGTGAGGGGGTGTGAGATCCAGGGAACCTTCTTTTGGGCCAGATTTGGTCCTGTCATCTTGTCCTCATCTGCAGAGTCCTATCATGGAAGCCTGTCTTAACCGAGACTCATGACAGGAAATATAAGGAAATATCCTTATAATGGAGAATATTTTGAGATGGGGAGAATGTCGGGGGGCAGAGTAGTCTCGGGACCAGGGAGACACATAATGAAGGGTATTTGCCTCACCCTGAACATGGGGCCACGTCTCCTATTTTGCTTATTCTTTTTTATGATTCTTGTCATCTGATTCACAGTGGCAACACTAGGGTTATATAATGGATTACTTTACCGTTTCACCACGGTTGAGGTGGATAGAATGCAAAGCGCAATGCCGCTACATTTTAGCTTTTTGCAAATGTCGTTCATGGGTCTAGCATCCCCTTCTAGAATGTGACCAAGATAATAATGCTAGTAGGTTAATAGTATTCATGCCTAATATATCTTTTGTCCTTGGACATTTTTTAACTACAAGCAGGGCTGCGATATGCCAGTTGTGCAGTGTCCAATTCTGGCCGGTGCCACTCGTGGAGATTCCCATGGGAATGGCACCCCTTGGAGGTGTGCAAGGCAGACACTAGCCTTATTTTGCTGGCTCAGAATGGTGACATGCCTTGTTCAGTGTCATGTGACGAGTCAGTGCTGTTACTGCAGCTAGGGCCCAGCTTCTGAATCTAAATCCAGTTTTAATTTTGCTGCATCTCCCGGCTGATCACTGCTTGAGTATATGAGTGAATGGAGAAAGACGAAGCCTCAATCAGGAGCCCACACAGGGTCGTGATTTGTTCTGAAGGTCCCCGAGTGCTTGCCCTGATCAGCAGTTCATCTGCCTGGACCTCATCCATTCTCACTGGGCACTTTGCCCACATGGTGGGCCCCAGATGACGTGGCCCTGGTATTTTTCTGCCTCCTGTCCTGAACCCCTTTTATCTTTCTGGTACATAGGGCCACACCTCCCCTGCCTGTCCTGTTCCCTCAGGGCCTTGCTTCCAGCTACTACTAGGTCATCCTCTCCCATAATGTGTTCATTAATAAAATGGAAGGTTATAATTTCAGTAGGGAGCTGCAAAAGAGAAAGCAGCCTCTAAAGCACAAAGGAGTTACTCTATGGAAGGATAGAATTGCTGGCTGGGTGGGAGAGTCGTGAATCTGTGGGGTTTTTTATGAAGAAGAGCAGGAAAGGACCCTACCAATCACATAATGCAGATGAGGAAACAGAGGCCTTGAGAGTTAGTGGATTTGCTGGGGCTGGACTGGATTGTTCCATTATGCTATGCTTCCTCCAGTCATTTGAGTTGGGGTCTTTCCAGACATCTTTTCCACCTTACATGACCAAGGGCAGCCCTGCATTTGGACCTTCTCTGTTCCATCCATGTTTGGGAGAGCAGGAGGGCCATGTCAAGGGAGCAGGGAGCTTGGTCAGTGGTGTCCTTGGACCCTGGCTTGACCCCAGGATTCGTGCTTTTAAATGCCATTATAAAACGCAGTCCGTCTAGAGCTCAGTGCCTTTTGCCATCAGACTAATGCAGCCTTGGTGGAAGGCGGCGGGGGGGGGGGGGGGGGGGGGCGCGGCTGGCTGCCTGGCAATCTCCTGGAGCCCAGGAGAGGGATTACGCTTGCTCAGGCAGCCTCATCACTGTAATAAAAATGGGAGTTATGTTTATCGACTCATCAGGACTGCCCATTTAGACGATTACCCCATTGCCAATCCCATTTCTAGAGAAAAGAGGATTGCCGGACACTTCCTCCCACCCCTATCCCGGGTGGGGCCCTGTCTGTGGTCTCTCAGCTTGGGGTGGGGTGGGGATATGTGTTGCAGGTAGGCATGCAGCAGGCTGGGAGCTTTGCCCTCTTTGTCTTCCAGAGCTGGCAAGCCACAGCGGGATGGCCATCCCCTGAGAGATAGGAGAGGAGGAGGAACGGCCCAGCAGGGGCCTGAAGCAGCTGGCTGGCGTCAGTAATTTCCTGGAGGACATTTTGCTGGCCGGGTACACGTCACCCTGCTGTTGCCCCTCTGTCTTCTCCCATGCGCTGCTAAAATTAAAGCAACCCTTGGGCTGCGCTCACATAAATGCGGTTATCCAACCTTATCTGTGTGGAGCCCAGGTATAAAACAGCATCACCTCTCTGTAACAAGTTGGGGAGGAGAAAGACGGAAAGGTCCCCCAGCAGCTGGATTCCACATTTACAAAGTTTCTCTTTCCACACAGAAGAGCCTTTTGGGCCCTGGCCCAGAGACCACTGACTCTTACTTAACGCATGGCCCTAATTGGCTTGGTAGGCGGCTCTCTGACAACCAAGCAGACTGGAAGCGGGAATTAAAGACGGGGAAAAGCTGGAGCCAGGAGTTAAGAGCTAGACCAAGGATGTGACATCTGTGGGGACAATTGTGGATGGGAATCCTGCTCAAAGGGGGATGTTGGATGAATAGCTTGGAAGGTCTCTTCCAACCTTTCAGTTCAAGGCTCTGAGTGTGTCTGGTTTGACTGTGATCATGAGGAGCAGGGAGAGGGGAAGGGGGACATCAGTGGGGAACTGGTTGGTACCCAGCAGGACATGTAGTCTTGTGTTTTGGGGAGGCCCCAAGTTCTGGTGCTCTGTGAAGTACTCACCTGCTTTTGTGGACTGTTCCAGATACAGTGTCTACTCTTGGTCCTGCTTTATTCTTTGCCAGCCAGAGTGAATTCTTGTGGCTGTTTCTAGAAAGAATTTTGTGAGACATCAGAGTGTAATGGATAGATGTGGGCTTGCAGTGAGGCAGGCCTGTGTTCAGACCCTGGCTCCCCACAAAGCTAGCCAGGCGACGGGTAAACTTATTGAGCCTCAGTTTCCTTATCTGTATATTTACTGTATACATGGTGCGTCATGCACCTTCCTGCCTACAGCACTTCCCTAGCTCCCCACTGCTCCTTGCTATTCTCAGGGTGACTCCCTTCCCAGACGAATTTCCAGGATTCCCAGTAAAACTCGACTTTCAGAAAATAACAAATATTTTTTTAGTGTAATTATGCTTAAATACTAAAAAAAATTTAGTTGTTTATCTGAAATTCAGATTTAACTGTGAATTCTGTATTTTGAAATTAAGTTTTTATTTTAGAATTGTTTTAGATTTCTAGTACAGAGAGTTCCCGTATACGTTAACATCTTATGTCAGTTGATACCTTTATCCCCATTAACGAACTAATGTTGATATATTAGCATTAACTAAAGTCCACCTTTATTAGATTTCCTTAGTTTTCCCCTAATGCCCCTTCTCTGTTCCGAGACCTCAACCAGGATATTACAATGAATTCAGTCATCTTGCTCCCTTAGGCTCCTCCTGGCTGTGACAGTTTGACAGACATTCCTTGTTTTTGATGACCTTGACTGTTTTGAGGAGCACTGGTCAGGCGTTTTGTAGGATGTCCCTCGATGTGGGTCTGTCTGATGTTTTTCTCATGATTAGATTGGGGTAGTGTGTTTCGGGGAGAAGGACCACAAAGGCACAGTACATTCTCATTCGGTCATGTTTACTGGTACGTACTGTCCCCAGGACTTATCGCTGTTGATGTTGACCTGGATCACCTGGCTGAGGTAGTGTTCATCAGGCTTAGCATCCTGTATTTTTTATTTGCTAAATCTGGATAACTATTCCAGGCCAATGAATCAATCCTTCGTGACTGAAAGACAGAAAGATCTGTATTTCTTCCGGGCTTACTGCTGCAGACTTTTTCTGCTCCAATCTTAGAACTGCTGGCAGTCCCTCTACTGAACTACTCTCTATCTCTCTCACTGCCAGGCCTTCCTCTTGCTCTTTCCTCTGCCTCGAGTGCACACGCACACGCACACAGCTTCCACCACTAGGGCCTGGTTATGTGCTGGCCCTCTGCTCTGGATCTACTCTCGGCTGGTACTTGTGTCTCTGTGGTTATGATCTGTTTATTTATCTTTCTGATCCTAGTGCATCCCTAGCATTTTGCACAGTGCCTATTGGAATTCAATAAATAATTGCTGAATAAGTGAATAGTTGGTTATTCCAGATGAGCCAGGTAAAGCCTCTGCTAAAGCACCTGCCTTATAAACGGTAGATGTTCAGTAGATACCTGTTTCCTGTCTCTTTCAATATAGAGGAAGTAATATTCCCCAGATTTGAGCAACTGTATTAAGTTTGTGCTTGCCCGACATCCCCAACATATGCCCCTAACCTGGAGACAAGATTCTGGAGCAGTGGTCTCCTAGGATTCCCTGAGAGCCACAGTTACCTGCGTCAAAGCGTCAAGGGGGCCACTTAATGACAGAGATGTTGGGCTAAGTAGGCTACTCTCGGTCAATTCGCAAATTAAAAAGGCATCCTTCTCCCAATGGAGAAACAGCAAATTATGAACCCCTTGGCCCAAATTTTCATAATCAGGCCCCTTGACCCTTTGTTATTTAGTGAAAGGGATCTGCCTCACTTTTTGTGTCCCACACTCGGCACATATGTGAATAATGTTTATACCCGGTGTTGCTTGTCCTTGATGACTACTATACCTGTAGGTTTATGTGTACATTAATTTTTCTCTTTTCACTCATGCAGAGTAGTTGTAACCCCACTCCTGAGACCCAAAGGGAGGAGACACCTCCTGGAGTAGTCTCAGGAATCTCTGATCAACCACAGGACTAATTGTAACGTCTGTCATTTATTATCTGTCTTATGCCAGGTGCTTCACTGACCTCATCCGTAATCCTCTCAATAACCCCGCAAATTGAGAATTATTATTCCCATATTGCAAATGAGAAAACTAAGGTTTGCGGTGCTTTAAACTTTGCCCAGTTGTTGGTGATGGAGTCAGGCTTGGAGCTAGGGCTGTGAACTTGAGTCTGAGCTCTATCCACTGGGGTCGGCAGCTTCTTCAAGGTTCAGAAAGTTCTGAAAGACAGAGTCAGCAGTTCCCAATGGTTTGTGCTCCTCAGAATGGTTCTTAGGTCTTTGTGTTCCCAGGTCACCTCACTAGATCAGGCCCTCATCTATCCATGTCTACACCCCTGCCAGAGCCTCCTGCATGGATTCCTGGACTTGGATTCCTCACGCACAGCCTGATCACTCCCATGCTGCCATTGCCCTACTCAGGAACCACAGGGATGCCCATTTTCAGCCCTATATATCCTTTGCCTTGCTTTCAAGAGCCTGTATTCTGTTCTTCCCTTTATCTCACTTCATCTGAATTAGCCAGTCTTTTGCATGGCTCACACGGAGACCATCCACACTTCCACTTAAGTGTGCTGAACCTGTCCTTGGGAGACCCCAAGCCTTCTCTCCCCTCAGATTCTCTCTCTCTCTTCAGATCCCGGGAGAGGTTTCCCCTGAAAGATATACTGACTAGTCCCTTACCCACCTACCTCTCCTTAGATCTCCATGGCACCTGGCTGTGCAAGTCATCTATATTTTTATCGATTTTATGTCTGCTTATTCTATGAATTATTGAGAGAGGAGTGTTGAAGACTCCAACTATAACTTCAGTTTGTCTATTTCTCCTTTCATTTCTGTCAAATTTTGTTGCATGTATGTTAAAGCTCTCTTACTAGGTGGCTACCCATTTGGGTTGGTTATATCTTCCGGCCTTATTGAACGGACTCCTTTATCATTGTGAAATGTCTTTCTTTATCTCTGGTAATATTCCTTGCCCTAAAGTCTACTTCATCTGTTAGGAATATAGCTCCTCCTGCTATAGTTGTTTGCATGGTCTATCATTTCCTCCTACTTCAACTTTTAAATTATATTTTTTATATGTAAGGTGAGTTTCTTGAAGAATAACTTCCTTAATTTTTTTGTCAAATTTGACAATTCCTGCATTATAATTGCTGTTTTTAGTCTGTTTACATTTAATACAGTTATTGAAATGGTTGGTTTAAGTCTACGTCTAGCTATTTGTCTCATTTGTTGTTCTTTTCTTGCCTTCTCTTGGATTATTTTTTTATATTCCATTTTATTATTATTATTATTCCATGTTATGTTTTCTTTTTCTGTGTGTGATTGCAATAGGAATTGCAATATGAGTTTTTAACTACCAAAGTGTACCTTCAAAAATATACTACTTCACATACAATGTTAAGACTCTTATAATGGTATATTTCCATCCCCCTTTTAGTGCTCTGTGCTATCATTGTCATACACTTCATTTGCACATTTGTTATGAACGTCACAATACATTGTTATTATTTTTGCTTTAGGCAATTATCTTTTAGAATTTCTTAAATGAGAAAAAATATTTTATATTTACCTACATATTTGTCCTTTCCTGTGTTCTTCATTGTTTTGCATAGACTTGAGTTTTCATTTGGAATAATTTTCTTTCAGACGGAAAACATTTATTTAACTTCTGTTAAATGTAGTACTGGTTTGCTGGCAATGGATTCTCTCAGTATTTTGGTCTTAATTTTTGAAGAATATTTTCACTGGCCATAGAAATCTATGTTGTCACTTTTTTATTTCAGCATTTAAAAAATATCATTCCATTATCTTCTTCCTTGTATAACCTATGATAAGAAGTCAGAGATACTTCTCATCTTTCCCCCTGTATTTAATGTATCTTCTTTTTCTGGCTGCTTTGAAGATTTCCCCTTTATGATTAATATTTAGCAATTTGGTTATGATGTGTATTGGTAAAGTGTCTTTATGTTTATCCTGCTTCATGTCAATTGAGCATATAGAATCTGTAGTAGGTATATAGTTTTCCTCAAAAAATTATAAATCCTTCATCCAGTATTTTTTTCAAATATTTATCTGCCTTCCCTTCTCCACTTCTAGGATACCAATTATACATATGTTAGACTGTTTGATATTTTCCCACAAGTTACTTGGACTGTCTTCCTTTTTTCACCTTTTTTCTTTCCCCTATTCTGTGTATCAACTTGGATAGTTTTCATTGCCCTGTCTTCAAGTTTACTGATCTTTCCTTCCGCAGTGTCAAATCTGGTCTTAATCCCTTCTGTTTAATTTTTTATTGCAGATATTTCGTTCTGAGCTCTAGAAATTCTATTTGGATTTTAAAAAATAGTTTCTATTTCTCTTCACATTTGGTTCATGCTTCCATGTAACTCCTTAAAGATATTATAGCTGTTTTCAGTTGCTTGTTTTTGCTAATTCCATCATCTCTCTCTTTTCCAGTCTGTTTCCATAGACTGATTTTTTAGTTATGGTTCATATTTGCCTAGTTCTTTTCATGTCTAATATTTGCCTAGTTCTTTTCATGTCTAATATTTTTTTAATTGACGACGGAACACTGTAAATGTTAAATTGTTGGTTGAATTTTGTTGTGTTCTTTTAAAGAGTGTTGAGTTTTGTTCTGGCAGGCAGTTAATTTACTGTTACTAGTTGAATACACATTTAGGTTTGTTAGTAATGCTAGTTTAACTACTTTTAAGGCTAGGTCTCTACTGAATTCCCTGGTGTTCAACAAATTTTCTTCATTCTAGTTGGTTGGAACTTGAATGCTTCCCAGCCACGTGTAACTTGTTGTTGTTCAGCTAATAGTTCTCCGATAGTTGTTCTGTCTTGGGTAGTTGTTATCTGTCTGGTCTTGTGGAGTCACACCTTACATGTGCAATTTATTATTTATACAAACAAGGGCCTCCAGTGAGGATGCCTGGAGCTCTTTCTTGTAGCTCTTTCTTCTTTGGCACTCTGTCCCTCCAGTTTCAGCCACCTCAACCTCCCATAACTGTAATCCCTGTTTCTTAGTCTCAGGGAGGCTCCCATCCTCTAATTGAGCTCCTCCTCCTTGTTCAAGAGTCTGATAAATGACTCTAGGCAGAAAGCCAGGATAATCATAGGACTCACCTCAGTTGTTTCCTTTCTCTTAGACATCAGAGTTTTGTGCACCTATTTTCCAATATCTGAAGAATTGTTTCATGCATTTGTCCAGTATTATAAAAGCATGTAATGGCAGGGCTAGTTTGTACATTCCATCATGACCAAGGGACCACCTCATAAGCTTCTTTAGAGGGGCGCCTGGGTGGCTCAGTCATTAAGCATCTGCCGTCGGCTCAGGTCAGGATCCCAGGGTCCTGGGATCAAGCCCCGCATCGGGCACCCTGCTCCGTGGGAAGCTTCCTTCTCCCTCTCCCACTCCCCCTGCTTGTGTTCCTTCTCTTGCTGTCTCTCTCTCTGTCAAAAAATAAAATCTTTAAAAAAATAGATTTCTTTAGTTATCACAGAGTTGATTAAGTGCTGAGCACAAAACAGTATTAGAGAAATTGAATGGGTCTGCCCACCTAGGATGTTTTGCTCATGTTCTGAGGTAGAACATGACACTGGGACAGGAGTTTCTTAAAGGATCCAAGCCCTTCGGGACCAGAATGTCATAGCTTTAAGGTATTGGACATCATTCTTCCTTTCCCTGTGAGTTCCACGGGCAAACTCAGTATTGTGTCTAGGGACCATCATAACAGATTCACACAAGGCCAAGTTAATGGGGAATCCAGTCACTGCCATGTGACTGACGCTTTCCAAGAGTAAGGGGTGATTGTGCAGCCTATGAATTTTTTCTGTCTACAGATCACACATGGCCCATCAGTGCAGCAGAAGTGTTGGCCAAGAGAGCTTCATGGAGTTAACTGAACCAATATAGTGAAATATACTGAATTTGGAAAGATAAGGGAAGAGAAGGCCCAGGAAGTGGAGGATGACTGCCAAACCCAAGAAGACCTCAGAGCTGAAAAGTCAAAGAAAAGAGGATGGGACAAGGCAATACCATCATGATTTCCCTCATGTGCAGGAAAATGGGGACAATCTCTCAGGTTTAGAGGGCATAAGCGAGAGAAAGGGAGGATGAACATATTGGTCTATTCATTAAATGTTTTAAGTGCCTATAGTGTATCAGGCATTGAAAATTTAATGTCTTCACTGAAATATCTGTTGAGACACATACACTGCAATTAGCAAAGGAACCAAGCAAGCCTACTTCCCTTTGTAGATTCCATGGCTACATCCCATTCTCTCTGCATCGTGGTGAATTTCATTTTCCTCTTCTGACTCTGCTTTCACCTTTCTGTAGTCTGAATGATCTGAACATCTGAGATTTTCATTTGCCTCTCTAGAAATAGTGGAAGTACGTTGGGTTACGTGGGGAGAAGTTGGATTGAATCAAGGAAGTAATTACAGGAGCTAGTTTTGACTATTTCTGTTTAGCTGGCAGAGAAAATTTATCCCTAAGATACTGGTTGTTGCCTTTTGGGAGAAATCTCTGGGGGCCAGTAACAATTTATGACATCACTGGGGAGGACTTTCTAGACCCAAGCACAGCTGGGTGTAATATATTGAAAAGTCCATGGGCTTGCCTGCTGATTAATTTTATGTGTCAATTTGACTGGGTCATTTAGTCAAACTCTGGATGTCTCTGTGAGGGTAGTTTTGGTTGAGTTTTAAATCGACAGTCTGAGCAAAGCAAATTGCCCTCCCTAATGTGGGTGGGCCTTATTCAAATCAGTTGAAGGCCCGAACTGAGCCAAAGGCTGGCCATACCCCATCCTCCTACTTTGAGCTGGAGCATCAGTTTTTTCCTGACTTTGAACTCAAACTGAAACATAGGCTCTTCCTGGATCTCAAGTCTGCTGGTCTTTAGACTAGAACATGGTCTTTGGATCCACCAGCTCTCCTGGTCCAGCTTGTTAACTCACCCTGAAGATCTTGGGACTTCTCAGCCTTCATAATTGTATACACACACACACACACACACACACACACACACACACACACACACCCCTTATTGGTTCTCTTTCTCTGGGAAACTCTGACTAGTATAGCTTAGGAACCACATAGACATTTCTATTTTTGAATCCCCCCTCTGCTACTTATTAGCTGTATGATCTCAGATAAGTTACCTCCTCTCTCCAGGCCCCAGATTCCTCACCTATAAAGTGCCAATATTTTGCCTCTTAGAGTTGATAGGAAAGTCAAAAGAGTAAGGTAAAAAGGGCCCAGTGCTAGATGCAGAATATGTAGATCTCTAAAGGTTCCTTTCTTCTATGATTTGTTCCCTCAACCTAACTCACTCAAGAGAGAAGATTCTTTTTTTTTTTAATTTTTTATTGTTATGTTAATCACCATATATTACATCATTAGTTTTTGATGCAGTGTTCCATGATTCATTGTTTGTTCATAACACCCAGTGCTCCATGCAGAACGTGCCCTCCTCAATACCCATCACCAGGCTAACCCATCCCCCCACCCCCCTCCCCTCTAGAACCCTCAGTTTGTTTTTCAGAGTCCATCATCAAGAGAGAAGATTCTTGCTAGAGGGAGGGCTAGCAGGGAGACTGTGCACTCTCCACGTTCTCTGTGCTTCTCAGGTGATGCAGGTGAATCAGGGAAAGAGGCATTCACTAGCAACTTGGATTCATCTAGTAGCAGGCCTTTGAGGCAATTGCCGCCAAGGATACTGTGTTAGGGTTCTCCAGAGAAACAGGACCAACAGGAGAAATGTAGATACACAGAAAGAGGTTTATCATGAGGCCTGGCTCACACCATCATGGAGGCTAAGAAGTCCCACAATCTGTCATCTGTAAACTTAGGCCCATGAAAGCTGGTGGTGTAGTTCTAGTCCAAACCTAAAGGCCTGGGGAGGTAACAGTGTAAGTCCCGATTCAAGTCTAAAGGCCCAGGAACCAGGAGTGCCCGTGATTGAGGGCAGGAGAAGATGGACGTCCTAGCTCAAGCAGAGAGCAAATTTGTCCTTCCTCAGCCTTTTTGTTCTAATTCAGGTCCTCAGTGGATTGGATGATGCCCACCCACACTGTTAAAGAAAATTGTCTTTACTCAGTCTACCAATTCAAATGCTAATCTGTCCTGGAAGTCATCTTGACAGACACTCAGAAATAGTGTGTTACCAGCTCTCTGGACATCCCTTAGCCCAGTCAAGTTGCACATAAAATGACCCATCACAGATATTTTAATAACAGTCCCCCTCTACGTCTCTCGTGCGCTGTCCTTAAAAAGCACTATGTCTTCTCTACTGGGCCCTCTGAGGCAAGCATATGGATAATTACCTCTTCAAGTTAATATGTATGCCTCTCTCCTTTTCTTCATTCCTTTACCTACTCTTTCAATAAATATTGAGTACCTACTATGTGCTAGGTACTGTGCTAGAAGTACTGAAGATCCAGTAGTTAACAAGACAAGGTAGTAATAGTCAAGGAACATAGGATAATAACAGCTCATGTTTAAGATATAGACAGATAATCACACAGCAGCAAAGATAAATGCCAGAGCATTTTTACCTAGGCCCAAACCACAGGCCAACAATCTGAGGTTTCCCCCCAGCTATCTTTCCCAGCTATATCAGGTGTTTTCCACACTCCTCCAGGCCCCTACCCACCCACCAACTCTGCTGAGCTCCACCTGCATCCATCTACCTTGCGTCAGCACTCAGCTGTCCCCCACACTCCGTCCCCTACCTGTGTTCCCTATCTCTGGGAATGTCATCACCATCCACTCAGTTGCCCTGAAATTCAGGTTTCACCTGTTTTTTTCCCACTCCTTTACTGCACTCCCCTTACCCAGTAGTTACTGAAGGTGATATATTTATTGAGCACTTCATCTATCACAGACACTGCTCCTTGCATCTTACTAGCTATTCAATCCTTGCAACCCTGAATGGTATGGATTCTCAGTGCCTCCATTTTACTGGATGAGGGAACTGAGGCCCGAAGAACATAAGTGAGTTGCGGCTTCCCCGCCAGCAAATGGGAGAGCCAGGACCCAACCAAGCAGCCTGTCTCTAGAACCTCTTCTAGTTATCACACTAAAGTGCTTCCCGGTCCAGAGGCAGAGACAGGCAATGAACCAACAATTCTCCAAATAATGATTGAGTTACCAGTGGTAAGTGCAGTAAAGGAGAAGTGAAGACTCTGTCTAAGATGGTGGAGGGACTCAGGGAAAGGGAAGAGAAATGTTCCACTGAGGTTTGTGACATCAGCAAGAGAGGGCAGAATGGAGGGGACAAATGTCCATGACAGACCCAGAGATGTCAGGCTGGTGCCATCCCCTCCACACCCCACAAGTGGCCAGCCACCTGTTTTCCTTAATGCATAGTGTGATCTGGTCCCCTTTCACTTGATTCTTTTCCATAATGTTGACTGTCAGGAAGTTATCCCAATTGTTCTCCTATGTCCTTGACCAAGGACTGGCAGACATTTTCTGGAAAGGGCCAGAGAGTAGATATTCCAGGCTTTGTGGTCCAGCCAGCCTGTTGTTGCAGCTCTGCAACCTACCTCCGTGGGGCAAAAGCAGCCACGGGTAATATGTACCTGAGTGAGTGTGGCTGTGTTCCAATAAAACTTTGTGGACACTGAAATTTGAACTTCATGTACTTTTTACATGTCATAGAATATGATTCTCCTTTTGAGTTTGTTTACCATTTAAAAAATGTAAAAAACAAACCATCCTCAGTCCATGGGCCAGCCATATAAAAAACAGGTGGGGAGCTGGATTTGGTGGCTGCAGTTTGCCGGTGCTCCTCCAGACCATCTTTCCAACTACCCTACAGACAGCTTCCCCCGCCCCCCCAGTGGCCCCACAAGCCCCCTCCCCAATTAACTTCTCCAAAAATCAAGCTCATCGCTCCAGTGAAGTCAACTCTTCCTGATACTCTGATTTCTGTTCCTCTGGAAATGATGGGACAGAAAAAAAGGCAGAAGAACCACTGTTGGAGCCATGCTGGGCTGTTATAACTGTTATAACTTCTCACACCCTCTGGGCACATTCCTGCCTTTTCCACCCCACCCCTCTCCTCTCTGCCACAAACTTCTCTGAAGACTTGTGTCTACTCCCCATGGCTGTTTCATCACCTCCCACTCCTCACTCTGCACCCCCTCCCATCTGGCTTCTACCCCGTCATGCCACAAAAACAGCTCCCACAAAGGTCACCGATGACCTCAGTGTTGCTAAATCCAAAGGACATCCTTCAGTTCTCATCTTCCTTGCAGTTGACACGGTTGACCACTCTCTCCTTGAAAATACTCTCTCTGACTCTGGCTGCCCTTTCTCTTCCTGCTCTTTGCACCTTCTCTCCAGTACCTGGCCCCAACCTGTTGGAATTCCTAAAGGCTGAAGCCAGGGCCTGTTTACCTTCTCCCTTGAGCTGCTCTTTTTGGGTGATCATGAATCTATAGCTCTCATCCTGAACTCTTTGAGCCACAGCCCAACCATCTCTCCACTGCTTACCAGACATCTCCTCTTAGATGTCTTAAAGCACTTCAAACTTCACATGTCCCAAAGCAAAATCATCCACTCATCCAGCTGTGCACTCAGTTAACAAGCAGTTACTGAGTACTTGCTATCTGTCAGACACCATACTAGTTGCCCAGGACACAATTCTCAGTAAAAGGATAGAGTCCTGCCCTTGAAGGGGGCGTGTAGTCTACAGGGGAGACGCATACTGCCCACACCTGCGCACATCTGACCCCCAGCTCATCTCTCTACCACACTGGCCCTGTTCTGCCATCCTTATCTAGGGGATTAGCACTATAGCTAATCTCCCTCTCCCTTAACCAAAATCCCACAGTCTACCTGCCATTCCTGTGGACTTACACTTAAAATATCCCTTGAGATCATTTCTCCCCATCCCTCCCAGTCCACCAGTGCCACCACCATTTCTCCTGCTGGGCCACTGGTTCATCCACTGTGGCCCTACTCCTCAGCCAAGTCATCTTTCCAAGATAAAACTCTCGCCATGCCATCAAAAACTAATGATGTATTTTATGGTGACTAACATAACTTAATAAAATAAAATTAAAAAAAAAAACTCTCACCATGCCACCTCCTTCCTCCTCTCCATTGGATGACACCAATTAAAGTATTTCCAAGACTTTCCATTGT